AAAGACACCTAAAAGAACTAAGTTACTAAACAAACACAACGTAAATAAGGGTCCTAACTAAGACGATCACGCCAAAATATTACAAATGGCCTATTATTAAACCTTTAGAAAGATCATTTAGAAAGACCAAAACATATTTTATTAATCTTGGTCACAAATATATATAATTATTATGTAAAGGGGAATATATTACATTTAGTATTTAATATATATTTATTATTATGAGAGGGGGGAAGCGTTATCAATGATATGTTGCAAACCCGTAACATTCATTGCTATGCAGATGACAGCACTGGTGATGCTCTTTACACCGGTCGAGCCAATATTTCTCGGGAAAACGTCTCCGAGTGCCGGAATAAACTTGTGTCTGAAGTCGAGTCTTTGCTGAACAGAGTCTCGGATTGGGGGCGACTAAATCCAGTCCAGTTTAACTCCCAGAAGACACAATTTTGCGCGTTAACCGCTAAAAAGAACCCCTTTGTCGTATCCCCTCAGTTTCAAGGCACTCCCCTTGTTGCCTCAGCCAGTATTGGAATCCTCGGCGTCGACATATCGAGTGACGTACAGTTTCGTGGTCACTTGGAAGGAAAGGCCAAATTGGCCTCTAAAAAGCTTGGCGCGCTCAGCAGAGCGGGACAGTATTTCATGCCGGCACACCGCCTGCAACTTTACAAGGCGCTGGTTCGGCCGCACATGGAATACTGTTCCCATCTCTGGGCAGGGGCTCCCCAGTACCAGCTCCTTCCTTGACCGCATCCAGCGCAGAGCGGCTCGAATCGTCGACGACCGAGTGCTTTCCGATCGGCTCGATTCACTGGCATTGCGAAGAGATGTTGCATCTCTTTGCATTTTCTTTCGCATATACCATGGAGAGTGCTCTGAGGAATTGTTCGGATTAATCCCAGCCGCCAAATTTCGTAAACGCACTACGCGGCAAACGTCCCGATACCATCCACACCATCTGGATGCTTGGCGGTCCACCACTGTACGTTTCGAAAGGAGTTTTCTTCCGCGTACAACCTTTCTGTGGAATAGTTTACAATCGGCGATTTTTCCGGATCAATACGACCTGGGGACCGCCATCATCAAAATCGCCAGTGGTAAACTATTCCACAGAGATGTCGTGTGCGGAAGAGGACTCCTAGTGAAACGTACAGTGGTGGACCGCCAAGTATTCAGATGCTGTGTATGGTATCGTGAGGTTTGCTACGTATTGCGTTTTTGAATCATAGTATAACTGCGGGTACCGTATCGGTGTTAAGCTTCTCCAACTTCAGGGAATCGTCGTTCTTCAACATCCTGTAGCTCACTGTTAGTATATTGCTCACTGGCTAGGGAATGGTAATCTGAAGACAAAGAAATATCATTAATACAGGATAGAGTGTCAGCGACAATATTATCCCTTACGGCGATATATCTGATGTTCATAGTAAACTAGCTGATGAAGTCAATGTAGCGAAACTGTCGTGGTGAGCAGCTCGTTCGGTGCGTTGTAGTAAAAAAAACGTGGTAGTGGCTTGTGATCTGTTATGAACGCGAAATTTCGTGCTTCGACGATGAAGCGAATGTGTTAGATGGCTTCGTAGATAGAAAAAAGTTCGCGATCGTAAGAGATATACTTCCTCTGGCTTGGACTTAGCTTCTTAAAAACAATGCAAGTGGTCCATTCCTTGTCTTGGTATTGCTGCAAGACTGCACCTATTGCCGAATCTGAAGCATTTGTATGAATCGTCAACTCTGCTTGCGAATCAGGGTATACCAATAGTGTGGCTTCAGAAAGACTGTTCTTGCAGTAAATAAAGGCCTCCAACAGCACGGGTGTCATTTTGATAGGTTGCCAACCTTTCGTGTTTGGGGCGGCGAGCATTTGGTTCATTGGAGCTTGAATGGTAGCTGCGTTTGGGACTAAGCAGCGATAAAAGTTTACCATTCCGAGAAAACACCTGAGTTCCTTGACGGTTTCTGGTGGAGCAAACTCTAGCTTATTCGGATAGCTAGCACCTTCGCATTCAGTGGCTGATTTCCCGCTACTAAAATCTTAAATCTTAGGAAGTTAACCTCAGACTGCCCAAACACGCACTTGTTGGTATTTATTAGAATAAAGTACTCCGTCAGTCTTTGAAAAAGTTGCCTAAGCTGTTGCTGATGTTGAATGATGTTGGACCTGTACATCAGGATACCGTCCAAGTTACAAATACAGAATTCTAATCCCCAAAGAACCTCGTCCATGAACGGTAACTCATATAAGCAGAATAGTGTTGTTATTGCGGTCTTGCATAGGTCAGCTTCATAAAACGGTATATAATTGTAGGATTTAATCAAATCTAATGTTGAATAGACAGTACTTCCGGCCAAATAAGTTCCTTTTTATAGTTTTTGGTTTAATCGTAGGTAATATTATATCTTTCATATAAATATCGACTGATTGATGACAGATACCTTCAACCACCATTTGAACTATTAGATTTTATGACAGTTATTGATATATTAGAGAAAAATAATCCAGTCTATTACCGCATGGAATTACTAAATTGTTGTGTTGAGATAAACCGAAATAAGAAGTAGAATTAACTAAATCGACAGCAGAGTTCTGCATCTCGAAAGTTCCCTTTTTATAATATTTTAGGTTTATTTAATTTCTAGTCTATACAAGACAAGTTAAAATCACCATTTGTTATAAAAGTATCATCTGGTTTTGAAAAAATCGCAGAAGTAAGTAATTTTATAAAATATTGCACACGAAGTGCAAGCGCGTGGTTTGGCGGCATATAATCACATATCATATTGAAGTCATATAGTAAGTCAAGCGCACGCGCCAGTATTTTTATGCATATATACCGTTATGTTATGAATACTGCTACCTTTATCCAGATATATTATGTGTGTATATATATATATATATATATATATATAAAAAAAAAAAATATTGTTACGAGCTTAGGGTTCGTGACAATAAAAACTGCCGATTGAATTACCAAAATTGACACTTTAATTACTGAACACCAATTAAAAGTTATATAATAAGCTAGTATAATCGCGGGTGGTCGTACCGTAAACACGCGTATTTAGTGTGCTCAATTTTAAATTAATTAAAATCATTATTACATGTTTATTGTGATTGCATATATATATATATATATATATATATATATATATGTTATAATGATCAACTAGACTCACCTATACTCACTGCTCACTACTTCTCCTTAATTAAAAGATATCTGGAAGACTTATTTATATGCCAACAATGGATGTTCAACTTGCAAATAACCTCTCTGAACTTTAGAAAATGTTTGGATCCCGAATGTGTGAATATGAAAAGAAGCTGCAAAAAGTCAACATGGAGGGCAATTCTTCACACACAGATTATCATCATCATCATTATCATCACTAGCACGTGAGTTTGCTGAATTTAAATCCTTTGTTTGGCAATCCCTTTCAGCAATGAAAACTCAAATCCAATTACTCTGCCTTGGGCTTGATAGGCATGAAATGGCTATGAGAAGAAAAGTGCTTTTATTTCTGCCCGAAAAACAAAATAAGAACCTTATCAATGTAGTGTAAAACACTCATGCCTGTCACCCAGAGGGGTAGGCAGAGACTACAGACTTCCATTTGGCACGACCCTGACACACCTCTCTCGCCTCCTTCACATCCTTACACCTACGCATACATGCTTGTCGGTTAAAGGTACTCCTAATTTGGCCCGTTTTCAATAAATCGCCAATTTGATCGATAAATTTTCGCCTAGGACGTCCCTTTCGTACTCTGCCATTCACTTCTGCAATATAAATTTTCTTTGTCACTCACACCCAACTTTCTTAATCCTGGCTCATCATCATCATCATCATCATCATCTTGCAAACCACACTCTTCTCTTATTACACAATTTCTTACCCTGTCATTCAGATTCAGCCCTAACATACTCCTTAACGACTGCATTTCTACTGCGTTCATTCTACTCTCGTGCTTTTTCTGCCACACCCAACTTTCACTAACATACGTTAAAGTAGGGACCAACACAGCATTGTGAATTCCCATACGTGCCTTTTTCGACACATTTTGACTCTTCACAATAGAGTGTAGGGCCCATTTATTCTATTTCCTGCATTCACTCATCGTTCTATATCCTTATCACATCTCATCATCAATGTAGTTTATGAACTAATATCCAGCCAATTGCAGTTGCCTGAGGTGAATAAAGATTGCTTGAAGGTCTGTCATCGATTGGGAGCCTCACAAAACAAAACCCGACCTGTGCTGGTTAGATTTTATGATTCCGAACACAGACAGTCAGTGTGGGATAGTAAAACCGGACTAAAAGGCTCCGGCATAACCATCTACGAGTTTTTCACCAAGAGTAGGCATCAAGTATTCACTTCAGCGCGTAAACATTTTGGTATAAAACAATGCTGGTCGTCCGAAGGCAAAATATTAATAATTCTTTCGGATAAATCTCGAAGGAAAATTAAAAGCATGGCAGAATTAGAACTGCTCACTGCTAAATATCCGTCTAGTACAGATGTGCAGAATGCACCACAAACTGAAATAATGGCTTGTCAAAAAAAATCTTCGACAAATAGTGCTAATGTTCCTAAGAAAACGCGCTGACGTTAATATCTGTTTTTGTGTAGTTACATATTGCATTTGTACAACGTCCCATATTTAGCCGTATTATGTACAATGGTTTGTGCCAGTAATCAATGTTTTTGTTTATACTTTAACCCTTCTTTGCATGATGATGGAAATTTTAATCATAATATTTAGTCAACAAAAATAGGTACTCAAAACCCTTGTACTGTAAATTGGTTGTTGCTGGCAACTTTTTAAGCGACCATAGCGTACATCAAAACGCAGTTGTCAAAAAATAGTAAACGTCACTGTCAATTACCAGGCTTATAACTTGTCATTCCGCTGTTTGTTGTAACTGGAAGAAACAAGTGATATTTTAAAATGTTTTAAGGAAATAAACGGAGATATAAAATACAAGAAAAGTGAACATGAGTGGAAAAGAGGTTTGTTTTCACGTTTTTGTTATTTTATGTACAATTTATATCAAAACACTGTGATAACATTTCTCAAAACTATGTGATGGAAATTTACATCACTGTGCAGTAACTTCACTTGTATGGCAATTTTTTTTTGTAAATGTTTATTTTATGTTGTTTTTTAGGGAAACTTGAATGAAAGAGATATTGAAGATTATCTTAGTAAGTTAGAAGGCGGTTGGCTCTCAGAAGATGGACTTGATGACCAAGATTCCGACGATGAAAACCGTGATGCTGATGAAGTTATAAGAGTGTTGCAGGAGGAGAACGATGATGATGATGATGATGATGTGGATGAAACTGCTGACATTGATCCTCCTCTTGTAGAACCAGAAGATCAAGAATCCTCTCACCCATCAACATCATCCAATTTGCATTCTTCATCCAGTTTTCCATTTGACAAAAGAAGCTTGATTTGGAAAAAAAGGAATCTGGTGTATATGATACAGATAAAATTACTTTCTTGGGGAGTTCTACTGCTTCAGGCGGTCTATCACACCTAGAAACTCCATATCAATGTTTTGACCATTTTATCACTGAAGATTTTATCAAAACATTAGTAGAGGAGACAAATTTATATATAATACAGAGTAATCCCAGTTCATCTATAACATTTACACAATATGATTTCTACAAGTTCTTTGGTATATTATTATACATGTCAGTAATCAAATTGTGTAGTTACATATTGCATTTGTACAACGTCCCATATTTAGCCGTATTATGTACAATGGTTTGGGCCAGTAATCAATGTTTTTGTTTATACTTTAATCACCAAATATAGTTTTCTTAGTAGGTACATTATCAATCGTATGACAATGTTTTCAAAAGACCAGATTAATAAACTTTAATAGGTATTATATATATTATTATATTTACTTTGAATAAATTCATAGCTTGAACGTTTGACATAAAGTATAATTAAACATTCTATGACTGACGTTCAATACAAATAAATTTTAGAAAGTGATAATGTATGTTACTTTTATATCATACAGTATGTGTTTATAATGATTTGTACAGTATACTGTGGCCAGCTTTCTTTTTCATTTTCTTTTCTTTTTCTTTATTATTTTATACACACCGATTGTTTAGTAATTGATGTTAGCTATAAGTATAAATTCGTTCCATCATGCCAGTGAGTAAGATGAGTCGCCCTTAATGTTACTTTTTTAATTTTAAATATTGTTTAAGTTAATTTTTTTCTTTATTTACATTTTTTATTCAATTTTTTTATTAAGTATTTTATTAGTATTGTGCCTTTTTAATAATATGTATGCAGATAACGATACAGATAATAATGATAGCTTTTTCTCATGTTCGTCTTCATCTAACAGCTTTTTAAGCCTGGACTCAGAGCCTTCCGTAGATCTTAACCTGCATGATCGCATTTCTACCCTTCGATATCTTAGAAGTGATAAGGGCATTAACTTGGAGACGTTGAGGGGCGATGCTAGTTTAATCGACTGGACACCAGTAATTGATTGTTCTAATATTGAGGACAAGGTGATTAACTTCAATTCTCTAATTTTAGAACTATATAATTACCATACACCAGTAAAACGTGTGAAAATAAGACACAATCCTGCTCCCTGGATCACAGTTGATATATAAGACCTGATGGCGCGTAGAGATAAAGCCAAAAGAAGATATAAGCAATATCCCCTTGAACGTAATTTAATCAGCTTATAAAAAAAAACTACGAAATCGCTGCAATCGTTTGTGTAGAGATGCTAAAAGGCGCTATTTTCATGATATCCTCACAAATTGCGATACTGCAAAAGCCTGGAGTTTTCTGAGATCTGTCGGTATCGGAAAGTATTCTGCTAGTGTGGGAAGTGTAATAAACTTGGGTAATCTCAACGAAAACTTTGCCAATCCTCCTGTCATAGTCCCATCATTCACTAAAACCAGAACCCTACTCGAAATATACAAATGCCCAATTCCTCATTATACCTCGTTTAATTTCACTTCTATTACTAAAAATAATACCAAGCGATCCATGCTTGCAATTTCATCGACTGCTATTGGAAATGATAACATCTGCTCTAAAATGATTACGTTGATTCTTCCCTTTGTCATTCCTATTCTTACTCATATCTTTAATTTCTCTTTATCTACTTGTTGCTTTCCGTCGTCATGGAAGTTAGCCCATATCCTTCATCTACAACTCATTATCGGCCTATTTCTAGTCTACCATTTCTTTCAAAAGTGCTTGAACATATTGTCCACACACAATTGGCTAAGTTTCTTAACCGTAACAATATCTTAAGTACTTTTTAATCTGGTTTTAGGCCTGGCCACAGTACAACTACTACTCTCCTCAAGGTAACTGATGATATCCGGTGCGGTATAGACCAAAATTACTTAACGGTACTCGTGCTGCTAGATTTTAGTAGTGCCTTCAATTCTATTGATTTCGATATACTTCTTAGCACTCTTCATTCTATTAATGTGTCTCCTTAAACTATTCAATTGTTTGACTCCTACCTCCGTAGTTGTTCTCAGTGTATTCGTTCAAATAAAACTTTATCTAAGTGGTGCAACCTAGCTACGGGTGTTCCTCAAGGTGGCGTCCTTTCTTCTTTACTCTTTGTCGTCTATATTAACTGTATCACCAAGGTGATATCTTCAAACTTTCATCTCTACGCAGACGATTTGCAGCTGTATCGTCATTTCCCAGTGACTTAAGCAAATTCAGCAATATTTGAAATAAATAAAGATCTAAATAAAATCTATGAGTGGTCTAGATCATATGGAATTGTTATAAATCCCAAAAAATCACAAGCAATTATTATAGGCACCAAGTTTTCTCGTAGCTTACTTGATTTTACTTCACTCCCACCACTGCAAATTAATGGCACTCCACTAAGCATCTCAGAAACTGTTAAGAATCTGGGCATCTTAATAGATTGAAAATTGACATGCGATGCACATATCAAGGAAGTTAGCCCGGAAAATCAATTATACTTTACATTCTTTAAAATGTCTTCAAAGTTTTTTACCTTTATCACTGAAGATTTCTCTTGCCCAAACGCTTATTTTCCCGATTCGTGATTATGCTGATGTCTGTTGTTTGGATGCGACTGAGAAGCAATTAAACAAGCTTGAGCGCTTGCAAAACTTATGTATTCGTTACATTTTTCGGCTAAAAAAGTAGGACCACGTCTCCCCCCTATCGCAAACAGCTCAAGTGGCTCCCAGTCCGACTTCGCAGGAATACCCGAATCCTATGCCTCCTTTTTAACATACTCTACAATCCAACATCACCACCATATCTACGTGATCGATTCCGCTTTGCTCGTTCTCCTGATGCAGTTTGCAGATCACATTTAAAAACCCTCCTAAATTTGCCTTCCTTCAGAACTAAGTACTATTCTCATTCTTTTACAGTACATGCAGTTAGGTTATGGAATTCTCTTCCTGCTGCAATTCGTGAGGCTCCAACAGTTTCAGTTTTTAAAGGGCGAGTTAAAGAGCACTATCTTTCTTTGTCGTCCTAATGATCCAATGTATGACTTGTATATATTTATATGTGTATCTACTTGTATTTTATTTAATATATGTATATAGTATAGTATTTAGGTATATGCATGTTTGTATATATGGATGTATGTATATGTTTTTATTATCTTTATTTTACATTAAGTTTATTAATATTATTAAATTTATTTTGAGGGTGCACACTAAATCTGCTTCTCTTTGAATCTGTCCAGTATCAGGCCTACTGGAAGAAATTTCACTATGAAATAAGCAGTGCCTTTGTATAAAATTTCTTTTAATTTTTCATTGTAAAATACTTCGTGTGTACATAAGTTATTAAATAAATAAATAAAAAATAAAACTTAAATCACACTAATAATTATTCACACTGAACACTTTAGTTCATTTTATTTCACTCCGAAAGCTTAGATCGAATCGCCAATTCAATACTGCCCCGATCGCGGCTTGCATAGGCCTTTTCCACCGAAACATCAAGAATATTCCAGTAAATACCGGCCTCGATCAACCAGGTGCAGAAAGTTCGAGTGTGGGGCTTTTTAGAAACTTAGTTCTTCTATTCGATACTAGATGGCGCTGTTGGTGAAAAGTTCAGGCATGGCATTATCTAAAAAATTCTCCTCGCTCTTTTCCCCGACACTAGATGGCGCTAGTGCTAGGTACCAGACATCAACAGGCGCGCAACACTGCCCCCCTCCTAAGACATGCTCGTCCCGAGTATTACTGACCCCATAGTAACGCACCAGTCGATCCACATGGACGATCTTAGGAGTTCCTCTTGCGCCTTTCTGTATTCGGTAGGTTACGTCGTTGATCTTGGTCACAATCTGGTACGGGCCGTCCCATTTACCTTGAATCTTAGGAGATTTCCCTTTGCTGCGGATTGGATTGTGCAACCACACTAGTGAACCTTCGTCGAAATCTTTGTTGTTCATCTTGGCAGGGTTTTCATCCTTTCCGACATTTGCTGGCCCGATTGTCTGAGGTGCTCAAGTCATTTGCATAATCGGTTATATTGCGTGGGGCATCAGGTGGTATCCCGGTGATCAAGTCTGCATGCAGGCAGCCGTAATTCTCTTCCCAAGTTTGAGAAAGCTGGTGTCACTGATGTACTTTCGTGAACAGCGCTTCGATATGGCAACAAAAACGGTTGTATGTGCTTGTCCCAAACTCGTTGCCGATTTTTTTTATAGGATAGGGTGACAAACGAGCACACAGTCCACCTGATGGTAAGTGGTTGCTGTGGCCCATAGACATCTACTTCTATCCTCGATTACGAATAAAAATGCAGATGCGTTGTCACCCGTGAGGACTAAGATGGAATGCCTCGTTTCCAGTAAAAAGGGTCTCCGGTTCTCTACACTCATCATACGAAATACAGCGGCATTAAACTACTATTTCACGCCGGTATTCAGTGAGAGCGTGGTCCTTCCCCGGTCGAGCCAACCCATTCGTGCTACAACAATACTACTAATATAACTGCAGCATGGCTCTACCACGTATAAAATCTAAAACGATTTATCGTACGATTATCTACAACTTTTGCTAGGTACCTCTCCAATATCTGATTAAATCGTTCTACCATTCAATCGGATTGCCGGTGGTAAGAAGTCGTTCTTGTTTTATGAGTACTCATAACTCAGCAAGTTTCTTGGAATATTTGAGACTCAAAATTCCTTCCTTGATCGCTGTGAATCTCTAAAAACGACAGAAGATTTCATTAACTACTTCATCTGCAACCGTTGAAGTTTCTTTATTTGGAATGGCGAAGACTTCTGGCCACTTAGTGAAGTGATCCATCACAACCATGAAATATTTGTCACCACATTCACTCTCCGGAAACGGCCCCGCCAGGTCAATGGCTATTGTCTCCAACATTGTACAACTTCAATGCACCTTTACTACGAGTCTGAGGTCCCTTTACAGCCGCACAACTTGTACATTTGCGACACCAGTCCTCGACATCGTTTCGACAGTGGACCCAGTAAAACCGTTGTCGGGT